GAGAATCTTCTCCAATAGTTCGTCGGGAAGCGCCATCAGAGGGGATTGACGACAATCACGGATATCCGCATCACATCGCCCTCTCTTTGGTGCCATAGTTAATTTGTGAGGTTCAATTGTGATGAAAACGATTGTTTATGGAGATGGAATAACTGCGGTTTAGGATTTGTGAAGCGGAACGGTTCTTTATGTTACATATATATAATAATTAAAAAAGCCCACTAAATGACCGTATACATTAAATGCGATTACCGTTAAGATTGTAAATGAGTTTATAAAATTAGTGGATAAACCATAAATTTCCTTGTTGTACACCCAGTTGATGTACACGTAAATGGATATTGGTGTACAGGTACATATTTAGCCGGGAACAAGGTATTCACACAACAATTAATAAATACTAAAATAATGTGAAGTATAAACAAATTTGTCTTTATGTACTCCCATTTGATGCATATTGGTGTACAACTAAACACTATTAGGTGTACGGATACGCAATTATTAAAGTAAACTAAATTATAAGCAAATTATATAATCGACACACCAATTAATAGATAGTAAAGTAAACAATATTATAAGCATATAAATTATCAAATAAACCCACATCCTAAACATTAAACTGTCAAGTTCAACATTAAACTTCAACATTCGTCCTAAGCGTTGGCAATAGCCGGATTCCCGACAAACTCTTCATATGAGTCCATGGCGTATTTCTCCCTTAACCTGTCAACGTCATCGTCCGTTATCAAACCCATATCCTCCACTCCAAGGGCCTGCAGCATGCATCTCTAAGAATTTGGCCGCACATGGACCACAGTCACCAAATCTTTTGTTCTGATATATGCCCTCCAAACGACTCCATGTGTAAGGGGTGGTGCGTAGGCCTTCCGTTAATTTGCTATCCAAATAACGCTTCAATATAAATGGCATACTTTGACACACGGGCGCCATATACTGCTCCACAGCGGCTTCATCATTATGACTGATGAATGAGTCCAAAATCTTTATGTTGCCCGTTTTAAAGTCAATTACAAGGCCCACCCAATGCTCAGACCCCCAGTTCATGGGGACGTATACAACGTCCACAAACAGTACAAACATTTGCCTCTGCCGCTGATTAGCCCACTTTGCTGGTTTTCCCAATACAATGCCCTGAATGGTTTTCCCCCAGTCATACTGATTTTTGTCTCGCGATATGAAATCGTTGTAGTAGTTGCCGATGATGGATATGAACAAGGTGTCTACAATGCTACCCTGTCTTTCAAGTATATTTCACCTCTACGTCTCCAAAGCATGGCCATTATGACTTGCATGTGCTGACAGAAAAACAAAACATAAATAACATATAATACAGATAATTAAAGATTGAGTAAGTACTAACTATATACTTACCATCGTGTTAACCCACTCAGTAGGCTTCGAAATTTGTAGGAAGAATTGATTGTTCACAGTATGACCAGTGACAATGCAAAAGTCGCTGTAATGAGAGCAATTGGTAATTGATTAGAATGAAAGTTTAAGGATAAATTGCTTTCAATACGATATAACTTACATGTTTCTTTCACGCGATAATAACTCCTGAAATGCCTTGAAGTGGTCTTGGTCAACTGTTTCGAGTGGTTTGTACGCAGCTTTCGATCTGGATACAAATAAAGCTTTCACCTTTGAATCAGCGGTGTAAATATCTTGAATCTTGTCCGACCGTACACGTGCGCGTTTTGCTCTACTTTTTCCTCCTCTTCCTGTTCCTCTACCTCTTCGTCCTCTTCCTGTTCCTCCACTTGTTCTCCTTACACCAGACGATCCCTCAACTTCTTGTGGGGGTTTTGGAGTACAAGGGGTCTTCTGCGAAGCATCACTTGCATCCTCAGGCGCAGTATGGTAATCTTTCCCCGCATTTGAGTCGTCCTCATTAGCCACACCCTACAAACCACCGTAACAATAAAGCGTATAACATATCAATCGTATACCTAGCGTATACCTAAACACTACTGTATACACATGCATATCATATGAACAACTTTAATGTCTGACCGGTGCATCCTGCGCATCTGTCTGCGCTTCATGTTTCTTATATGCGTAGCTCAATGGGTGAGGAGTCTGAGGTTTGTAGACTACTAAGGGGCCTGACACCAAATTTGTTCTACCACCATCCACCTGAATAAGTCATAAAAAACATAGCACATTACACCCACGTTATGAAACTTAATAGAGTCAGCTGCTGACTAAACAATTAGCTCACCTCGTTGAGGCCAGAAGGTGGAATTTCATCCGGAATGACGAAGTAAGGAGGTGGACGAGTTGTTCCTGAATTGGCTTGTCCCGGTTCAGGGGTCATCGTCGGAGCTTCTGGAGTCTTCAAGTACGCATGGTCTCTGGGAGAATAATGGTCCCCGCCGTAGTAACTAGAGGTCCCTTCTTCATCATCTCTTTCTTTCTGGTGTACACCATCTTCGGGGTGTACACCATCATTATGGCGTACGCTAGACTGTGCCCCTCCATCTTCGGCTTCGTCTTCATCTTCATCCGCTTTTTCACCATCTTTTTTTGTATTCTGTCCTTCGTCATACTGTTCCCCATCTTCTTTTGACTGGTGTACATCGTCATCTTCTTCGTCCTCTTGGTATACGCCCAATCTCTTGTCCAACTCGGTCTTAATCTCACGAAGGAGCAAAGTATTCTGAAGTACTATCCATCTTTTAAGATCTTTAATCTGTCCACTTTCAGGTGTTTCATCTTCCGATAGATTAGAAGAGTTCTTGCCCCTGCCTCTCTTCCTCTGCATCTTACGTTTTTCAGTTTGATGGGTTTTCTGTTTCTTTTTCGGTCGGGTGGATGGCTCAGGTTCCTGTTCATTGGTAACCTCGTCCTCTGCATCACTAATATCCACGATAGGTGCCGGTGCCACTGCAAAATCCGAAGGTGTGAATTTGTACCCCTCGGCCATGAGTTCCTGCATGAATGCAACTTCGGCATCCTCTACCTCATCTCCCCAACGCAATTCATTCTGTTGGTCATTCTCACCATCATCCACTACCATCTGTTTGACAGACAACTAAGACAAAAAATATACAATTGCAAAATTACCAACCAAAATGACAGAGCACTTATCTTTTAAGAGAAGTACTACAAAATAAGACTACAAATAGTATTAAATATAATACTACAAATAATTTACCAGAGGGTCGGATTCGACGGCATGTATGTCCCCAAGATGCAACAGTGTGATAACGTTTTGACACCCTTCGGGATCTTCAAGGAATGTCTTCAAGTTATCAGGTTGAGGAATTTTGGAAACCAACATTGGTATAGATTGGAGGGCCATGAGTTGTAGTGATAGAGGGAATCCATAGCATGCACTGGTTTTCTGTTTAAGTTGACGGCGCAATCGTGTTACAGGATTCTCCCTTTTCTCGGCATCCGTGATTGCCTTCAGAGCTTGAAAACGAGATACTGTTTTGTTAAAGGATACCCTCCCCCATGGATACAGCATGAACCTATCGAAGTCACTCAACATCTCAACGTATTTCTCGGTGAGGGCCAGATTTTTGCTATTGCAAAATAGAACACCGTCGACAAGAACGATTAGGGCCAGTGGAAGCCGTTTCCATCGGGGTAGATCCGGGTCCTTTAGCATTTCAAGCACATCATACACGTTCATAGCCTTTGCTCTTCCGAACAGGTCTTTCCAGATTCCTGTTTTCCCGACTTCTTCTTCTCTTTCTGTGCTATCAGGTTCGGGATTGCAATTCAATCCAGTGATTTCCTTGAACTCCCGTATCGAATATCTCAGAGGCTGTCCACCAAAGAGGAACCAAATCTCGTGTTTCTTCGTGGTCACAAGTTGTCGTGAGAGAAGGGCATGGACAAGTTTGGCGCTGTTGCAACATCTTGCAACAGGTAGATGGAATAACTTCCCAAACTGGGAATGGAGTAGCTTCTCAAGATCTTCAGTACCCTATAACGCCTCGACAAGGAGGCCAATTACATTGGCCTTTGAATATATGTTCAACCGAGCACCAACGGGGTAGCAACCATCGCCGAGGACTCTTTTTGGTAGTTTTTCCGAAAGGTTATTTGAAGCTTCTCCATCTTCCATGCCTGTATTTGAAGGTTCTCCGTCTTCCATTCCTGTATTTGAACGAAAACAACAATTCCGAAATGCACGAAAAGATATAGTATTCTGGATAAACAGTGAAATGCAAACCCAGGGGAAATGTTTGAGGGAATGGAGTTCGAAGGAGTTCGAAAGAGAGAACATATATCTGGGAAAACTACCCTATTCGTATGCTCTCCTATAAAAACTTCTGTAACTGTTTCTAGATGATATAAGAGTAATCCAACCGTTTGAAATCAATATGTAGACATAAGTACTACAGTTCATAACCGCTAATACATAAATGAAGCCAATCAGCGCCCCGTTTCAATCTTAATTTTAATTACAAACCGCCAGTACAGTTCAGACAAGGTCGAAGTTCATAAATGTAACTTACTTTTAGAATTCTAAGCAGGCCATTCTAGAAGAGGAGGAGCGAATTGTACTTAGGCTCTACACCGCCGGCGTGGATTCAGACGACTCGAGTGAATGGGATGTTCAACCCGGTCACTCCGCCGCGGTGGCACGAGCGGCATGGGCGAGTGGTCCGTCGGAGCTGTCTTCGAGTTACTCCGGAGCATGCGCCTCGACACCGGAGGCACGGTGTTGTTGCGCCTTAACGATTTTTTTACTTTCCGCGCCATTACAACGGTAAATCGGATGGCTAATCGGAGATGGATTACCGGAGATGCTAGATAGACGACGTCCAGATGTGAATCCCAAATTAAATTTTTATTTTAAATGTTGGGGTGTCGATAAATTATACATTTGGTTTTACTTTAATTTATGATATTGGACTTCGGTTGATAATTTTGTGTAATCGGTTTATGAAATCGGATTTAATCAGGAATTTTAAAAAACAGCACTTTCTTTCTATGGTTTTCAAAACATCCTAATCCTCAAATTTAAAATTTAAAAACATCCCATTCAGCAATTTTCTCTATATAATAACATTAGTAAATTTATTGCATCGACACGACAACGTTTTCGACTGAATCTAGAAACCATAAGAGGCATCTTACTACATTTACAGGGCAAAGAGTCCCTTGGAGTTGGCGAAGAAGTGTCTGCGGCGGATAAGCTCCGGTTTTCTAGGACCGGCTACGAGAAGACTGCTTAACAGAGACGGAGGACCGGTGAATTTGGTTTGCACCATTTCCCTCACTTTTATATACCCGTCGAGTGTCATCAACTCCAGAAGCTTTCTACAGCTCTGAGATTGAACAAAAAGAAGAAGACAGAGAATATTATCAGAGAGCATACATAGATCGTATATAGACAGACACAAGACGAAGAGCTTTAAGAGGTTATCATCAATCTCAGTGTATCGAACCATAGGAGAAGAGGTTTTAGGGATTAGGATACAGAGGGATTGTAGATTACCTGAGGATTTAGTACATCCATTCGGTTTACGATCTCGTCCTGCCACAAATGAAATGTTTTGATTACTATATCCAGAGAGTTTGCAACCATGAGGGTACGAGCTTATTGGATGCAAAAGGTAGAAGTATTTACCTCTGGTATACCGGGATTTTGCAGGACGGTACCTAAAACACGGCGAACAAGTCCATCAAAGACGACTTTATTTATGGACCCATCTGCGTTTACCCATGGAAATGGAAATATAGGCACAGGTGATATCTCAGAAGTCGATTCCTTTGTTTCACCTTTGGTACCCGTTCCAAAAGTAACAAAAGGAGTAACAGAAGGAGCTTCGATAGATGCTTCGTGCGAACCGCATGTTTGAGCAATTTCAGGAAGGTTAAGAATTGTAACCTTGTGAACGCTGTTCCCAGCGACGTTCTCTTGCTCGCCCTGTGAAGTAATGCAGATGGTAGAGACATCGTCTGACCTATGTTCCCCAAAAGCTCTCTCTAGGTAATTCACTGGTAAAGGCAGTTGAAGATTATTGTCGGAAGTTTTACCCTCCTCCAATGTCAAGAAGTACTTTGATCGGTAGAAGGAATGGACAACACGGGGATTGTCATACCCATTTACCTGAATGTTAAGATAGCGTCATGTTAAGAAAGTTCATTGTAAAATAGATGTAACATGAAAAGGTTTCACAGTCCAGGAAAGTAAAGCTAGTAAACCAAGCACTGCAACTTTCCTCTAAATAAAGGCAAAATGTATGTACAAATAAGAGATAATAAGACAAACCTTCAAAGCTAGCCCAAATGTTTGAAGTACATCTACAACGCAATCACAATCTTCCTTGCCTGCAGATGAACAATCAGCAGAGGTTAGAAACAACACTGAAGAAAGTAGTTTAATTATGCAAAAGTATAAGCAAGCTTGCCGGATGCTTACCTGTAAGATCAATAAGACGGTGGACTTCTTCAATGCTCAGACCTTGGTCACCAGCCTTCTGAAGGGAGTTGGAAACGGTTTCAAAAACCCTGGGACTGAATAAACTCACTTGCTCGTCTGCAATTTTGGCCATAGAAATACTAGCAAAACTAGCCATCGCTTGCCAGGGAGAATCACCTTGACTGCCTGGTACGACAGTAGCATCTGTAGAGTTAAGAAGTTCCTTCGTATCATCAGATTCACCGCCAATATTTGTTTCTCCCGAGTTAAAATGAAGTTCACCAGTGCGAGAGTCATCATCTTTAAACAACTCTATTGCGTTAGCAGTTGGTAGAGTTACACGACGAACAGATACTGCTATACCAGGGAAACCCTTTTCCTTACGGAAGTTGATTTCACCTTCGCCGAGTAGCTTTGATTTCTTGGCATTATCAGCTTCAGATTCTTCTATGTCATCAGCTCTACGTTTTAAACCTCTTCGATCTCCAGGCTCTCCAACACCTTCTTCCGGTAAGGATACAGATATAGAGAGCTCACCAGAAGAAACCAATGAAAATAAATTCAAAACATCACCGCATTGTAAATCTGAGGTAAGAGCGACTCCCCCAGTCATTAGGTCTCTTTCATGTTCGAGAAGCCAACTGGAAAACTTGGCTGCTCTTGCCCCAGTATTAGCCGGGAATGGAGACTTTGAAATACTGTGCAAGAAGTTCTGAGAAAGCACAAAGGGTTGTCCACCACTTCCACCAACCTGGAATGTATTCATAAAAAAATGACTTTCAGTTTTCTTTCGCAAATAGAATTATTATTAAGTTCATCCAAACAAATAAAAATATTTGATTCAAAGTGGAACATCAAAGCGAGGTGAAGGAAACTGTTTCTTATTCACCATCTTACCCAAGCATCAAGCATGCACGCAATGTGGATTTGAAAGCAAAACCGAACCAACAAAAGGAAGAAAAGATGATGCTTCAAAGTTAATCATGCTATGCTACTGAAATAGAGCTTCACATGGATACTCATATGCCTTTTCATAAAATCGAGAAACATATAATAAAAGCCAGAAGCCAGCGAATTTAATCTTGTAACAGGAAAGTAATAGGTAGTTTTACCAGGATTTTTTTGTCTCGGAGGTAGCTATAGGCTGTAAACAGGTCTCTCTCTGAATATCGTCGTAAGGTATCTTCCAGCAAATTTGGCATACCAGGTGCAGTGGGCATGCTCAGAAAGACAAGCTTCAACAGTTCTACAGCAGTAGAAACTGCCAGAGATTTCCGTACTTGTATACTACCATTGTCATTTTCATCTAAAGGCTTAAAAGTTTGATGAGGACGATAATGACCAGATCGTCGAGATGTTTCTTTAACTTGATCCACAGAAACATTTTGAATGTCCTCTGAGTCCATTGCAGGTGGAACCATTTCACTCCCCTGAAAGTCCATAATATTAGTTTATCATAAATTGCCAAAAAAAACGAAGAACCATTAGAATTAATAACTTCTAGATCAGGGTGAATGAGATGTCCCATGGTTCCAGTCAAATTAATTTGTGAAGCGATAGAGCAATACAAAAGTGAGGCGAAGCAATTGTATGGACGGTGCCAATCAAAAAAAAAGTAAGCAATAAGAATGCACCTCATCAACTATATCTCTCTTTGACCATTCCCGAGAGCCAGGTCTCGTCCGTTTAGGGGCCACCAGTTTAGCCATCTTCTTTAGCTCAAGAACATCATTAAAGGCTTGACTTATACTCTTTTCATTGAAGTCATCCCATTTTTCTTCATCAGAACAAGTATCTTTACCATGATCAACACAATCGGAATCCGTTCCGCCAATGGCCTGGGATGAGTATCTAACAAGAACATGTGAACTGTTGCTCTCGGGCACACACTTCTGTTTCGTCTCTAGATGTTTTGCATAACGCTCCCCCAGCAGATTGCAAAGCCTCATGACCGCCTTCCGAAAATCAACATTCTTCATCAATATTTGAATCCGTCGCTTGCAAGCTGAACGACGCGCCGGCAGTCCTCGAACTGAAGCCCAATTTACTCCAGAGAATTTTGCCCCAAGCTTCGCGCGGTGTCTAACATATTGACTCAACAATTTCCTGACCAGAGAATATTTGTGTCAGTGGTGTAAACCAATCAGATATAATACATTATTATAGATATAGGAGAATGTCTAAAGAATGAATGAATGGAACACTCAATCATTTAATAATTAATTGACTCTGTAAAGGAACTCCTGAGGTAGTAAGCCCTCCTCCGAGGCATAAAGTCCCTGAAGGGAGACTCCCAAAACCAACATTACGTTGGACGTTTACAGAAAGAACGAATTGATATATGCTTAGAATTCATATAAATACATTGATATACTACTGAACTTTCATTGGATATGCCAAGCTTACCTGTCCGCCTCTTCTGACCATGAAAATCTTTGTGAAGGAGCTGACGTGGTCTTTGAACTTGCATACTGGTTGATTAGAGAAGAACACTGGCCTTCATCTTCAGTAATATCCCTTATCTCTGCATTTTTTTGTGGATTGTGCTCCTGATGCATCGGAACGACGGTGTGGTCTTCTTGTAATGAATTCAGAAAATTCTCACTATTTGAGACATCAATGGCATCAGAATCTAGAACCTTTTGTCCATCTACTATTATGGATTTGACACCTTTTCCGGTAGTTTTTACAGGGGCTGCTCTTTTTCTTTTCCCAGAAGATGAAGAAGGATTATCTTCTGAAGCGTGATTTTTATTTTTTGATTTTGATTTCGCGCGTCTTCCATGCTTCGCATGATAGACATGCATAACCTGGAGTACGCAACAAAAAAAAAAAAAGATCAACTCACCCAAAAAAAAAAAGAGAACATCCGGGTCAGTCTCTGTTCCTACACCAGAGATAACAAAGCTTAAAAGCGAACTTCAATTAGCTTCATGGTGAGTATTCTCAAGCTGAAACATTTAATAATCAAGGTCCTCAGTCGGCATTAAATATTAAAACTACTGGCCAAACCACCACACAAAACATATCTTTACCTGCTCTAAGGTCAGATTCAGTTCCTTAGCAATCTTCTCACACTCTTTGAATGAGAGTTTTCCCTTCTCGTCGACTGCAATACACTGTAAGAGCTTAGCACGCTGTTCTGCTGTCATGACACGATCTGAGGCCCAAGAACGGAAACGGAAAACCTACAAGAACTGACAGTTAGAAACTGTTTTCTGAATGCCTAACATAACAGGCATCTGAAAATTACCATCGCAGGAGAAGATAGCAGACAGGGATATAAATATTTTGAGTAGGTTATATTGATTTTTTGTTAATGGATAAATACACACTAAATTGTTCTATATATAATAGCCATGGTATAAAGATCAAGCGTATACCTCTTGAACAACAGATCCCGGAAATGCTTGCTTAGCAGCTCGGTGATCAGCAGCAGCATAGCAATATTCTAAAGTTAGCCAATATTCATCAACAGCATCTCTATTGGATAGAATAAAGTCATGCCTAATACGTGGACGAAAATCAAGAGACTCAACATTTGATGTCGCAGGAACAAACACAGGTTCCTCTATATAAGGCTTAAGCTCCATTTCATGTGTTAAATTGGCATACCTCTCTTCAATATCATCCTGTCTGGGTCTATTACTTACCATCTGAATCAGCTACAAAACAAAAATAAGGCACAAACAATAGAATTATTATTTTTATTTTTTTGAGCTGCAGACTTCTATGAAATATGGTACTTCAGGTGCCATTTAATTATTAGTATTACCTTTAATCGGCGTAAAATATCAATAAGCATCGATAATCTACCAGTCGCAAGGGTATCCATTAGCAGCTTATACTCTTCGCTAGGAAGCTCAGAAAGACGCATAACCTGTTTGCATTTCTTCATCATATCATCAGCTTTCTGAGTAGATCCAACAACTTGTAAAAATAGTTCGAATGGCATGGCTCTAAAAGCATCTTCAAGTGCAAATAAATTCCCAAATTTATGATCATCTATTGAAGAAAACGCATTGTCCCAGCCAGGTAAAGAACTAAAATAGTCCCAAAGGAAACAGTGTAGGAGCTTCACACGAACCATCTTTGCAAGCACAAACCCATTGGCTCGCATGGCTCCTGATTTGCTAGCTCGCGAATCCAAATCCACGTTAGTTTGACCTCTCTGAATGTCATTCAATATCGGAATTAGCTCATTGCTTTTCCTCTTCGATAAGTTCTGGCCACGGAGTCCTAGTTCAAAAGACCTAATCCTATCATGAATTTGACTAACTACTTCTCGAGTGAATCTTTGAACAGATGGATGGAAAACTATCACAGAGATACGATTACGACCACAATCAGTTACATATGGGACACGAAAGCTCTCACATTTGCAGAGTCCTTCTTGTTCAAGCCTGATTAAAATTCTGTCAATGGTTTTCCTATCCACCTTGGAGCTCCTGTCCTTCTCTAGACTGAGAAGCCATTTGTGTAGCTCGGCTCTCAAAACAAACTTCTCCTCCTTTTATAAGCCAAAAAATAAGAAACAATTAGTCAGTCACTATTAGTCAGTCACTCAGTTCGAAGGACGAAATCAGAAAAATTTATAGCACGTAACGTGGAAAAAGGAGAACAGTAGTACATTTAAGCGCTCAAGTATTCTCCGCTCTCTTCGAGCGTTTTCAACAGTGATCGGATGAGGTTGATGCACTTTTGGTTTAGCCGGCTGCTGTAGAACGAGCTGGTTCATTTTTGACAAAGCCAAATCAGGGGGCTCCATTGCAGCATCAACAACCCTATCACCGATCTCATGGAATGATTCTTGTAAGTTACGACGTGTAAGCACATTTCTTCTTTTGGCATTAGATGGGGAACAATCGAGAACTCCTGAATTGCTTTCAGAATCAGTCAACCTTGCAGGTGTATCAAAGTCAGCATCAGAAACTGCAAAACTGTTTTCGATGAAGGTCTGAGCCAATCCACCAGTACCATGAGGTGTGCCAAAATCATTAATCGATACGTTATTTTCCCTGCTAATATTTTCAGCTTTCTCAGGAACCATATCAGAAGACTCAGACCCAGCATTACGAGAAGTCCAAACTCGATATACATTAGTCTTTTTGTGGCTTTCTGCCTGTATATGTATCCCAACTCTTGAAAAAATACTAGAAACCCGAGAATAGCTCTTCTTCTTATCAATTCCAAGTCTTTTACATACCTGGTAAATATAAACAATAATATATCTCAGTTTTTCTAAATATCTCTCAGATTACGACTCTGTCAAGTAAAAACTTTCTCCGAAAAACTGTAAGCCAAACCCATCAAATGAATACCTCCATCACAGCCAAGCCTTTAGATCCTTCAGCATCAATCATATCATAAATTTGATTGTCTAGTGGAAGCTCCAAAGTTTGTTCTGTTTTTGGAATATTCCTTCCGAATTTAAGGAGTTGCTTTTTCCCAGAATCGTTAAAATCTTTCTCTGAAAATCTTTTTAACAAACGGAGGCATCGCTCAACCTACAAAAAGAACAATCACATGAAAATCAATTTTGTGTCCAAACAAAACAGAGCAGAAATGATACATATATGAAAATGGATAGCATGTAGAGAAATGTAGTCGAATGACAGCATGAGATACAGATTACAGGTCACCTTATTGTTCACCACAGCATCAAACTCCTCCACTACATGAGAATCTATCAATCGGCGACAAACCTGACATTATCCGAGAAGAAAACCATTCAGAATATTCTAAATGACCAATGAATATTTAGTACTAAAAGTCTGTTTTTCCTCCCAAGTTGCTTGGAAACAATGATATAGTTCCAAGTGGATGAAAAGTAAGAAGACAGAGAAAGAAATAAAAAAAAATATTACACTTCTCCAAGCTCTATGCCTTGAATGTGATCCCAGATAACCAAGGTCTTTCTTAATGTCTGAGACGACTAGAACCTGCACTAGGAGAAAATGAGTAAACAGACACAAAAATTCATAGAAACAAAAAAAAAACACAGAGATGCTTCTATATTTACTAACCTTGTCGTTAGCTTCTTCAAGCTTATCACAAATTGCCTGCATTGCTGGTAGAAAATCTTTAATGAGAGTATCCTGTTTTGTACTCTCAGACTGTAGACTATCTCCGGCGGCGATATCCTCTTTACAAATCTCAAACCTCTGCTGTGAACCCAAAGGCTTGGCGTAACGGCTCAAGTGAATCAAGTTGGTGCTAATGCACGAGGTGGTTTTGTACTCCCCTTCACCATCAACTTCCTTCTTTTCATTCTTCACAATCACTGGTTGCTTAACAACCAAGCCTCGAGACTCAAGCTGCTTAATTACATAGAAGAAGTTATTCCCTTCGATGCCAAACTTTTTAGCAAGCTCATTCTGTTTGCCTCCTTCGGCTCTGCATCAAACACACAGTATAGTCACAGCAATCGCAACATACAGAAAAATCGTAAAGCTGAGATTCCCACACAAATTTTAACTCACCGAGCAACAGCCAGCAGTTCAAGAAGGCGAAGCTGATTTGGAGGAATAGGCGTGTTACTTGACTGAGCTTCGTACAAGCCAACGAAGTTACCTCGGAGCTTCTCGTTCGCGACGATCGTCAAATCGAGTCTATGAGCGTCTTCGAGCTGCTGAATCGAAGGATCCGATGGTCCGTACACTGTGTTCTTCGCCTTGAACTGGAGCTGAGGGTTCGATAGCAGATTTCTCCAGACATGAGCCTTGACGGAAGGAGAGAGAGGAGGAGGAGAGAGCTTTGACCAGAGACAAACTAGAGAAATCCCTTTTTCCTGGCAGCAGATTTCCTCCAGTGCCGTGCATACAATCGAGTCCATCTCACCATCCACTGCAATTCGATAGGTTAGGTCAACGGAAAATATTCCGCCGGTGAACTAATCAGCCGATTTCCCGGCGATGACACGGAAAATCTCGCCCGGAGAGGTTTTGGGAATTTATAGATTTGGGGATGATGGCGGGATCAGAGGACGATCGAGAGGAAGGCAATTTGAGTTCTTGGTGACGGGATCGATCTCGATGAACTGCGAACAATAAAGTAATTACTAGGTATTTAAAAATTTATACTACTAGCCTACTAGGGATGAGAAGAGTGAATGACGATAACGCCCTTACGTCAATAAATCCATCTCACCACGCATTTGTTCCCGTTTTCGTCGGGAAAAAACAAACTACGTGCCGTTTGCTGAGAAATTTGCATTCCCCACTTTTTTTTTTTTAGATTTTGAGTTTTGATCGAGTTTGAGATTCGTGGAATATATTTTCAAACATAACTTGTTGATGTTTGGTGAGAAATTTGTAAAAATATCACCTTTTCTTAAGTTTTTTAAGTGTTTTTAAGTGTTAGAAAAAATGACATTTACACTCTCTAATTCATCATCGTGTACTATACATACACTAATCGCCGTAGATGTTCAGATATAAATTTGTCATGAACAGTATCCAAAATGTTAAAATGATTAGCACTTAGAAAAAGTGACAAAAAACTAAAAAAAAAAACTTTAAAAAGTGACTGTGTAGCAAAGCTCCCATATTTTTGGTTCTAGAACGATTAATGAATGTTTCCAATTTCTACTTAAAAACGAAAGTTCCATTTGATCAAAGATTTAAACTATTAATACTTCTTAAGCAAATTAAAGTATATCTTAAGCAATTTATTATACTTTTAAGCCATGCTACAATTATATATCAGCTAATCATCCATTTGACATTTTCTTCTCATCATTGCATCACATAGTCTTGCGGCGTCTACGTTATCTCTAACATTATGAACCCTTATAATATTGGCACCTCCTAATATCCCTGCAGTAACACAAGCAACAGTTGCTGAATCTCTTTCACTTGCCTCAGGACGATCACAAATATCCCCCAAAAATCTCTTCCTTGAAGGTCCTATAAGCATAGGTGCATGAGACAACACTATGCTCTTCTTAGCCATTTCTTCTCGAATCCTCCTTAAACCCATTATAATATCTAGATTGTGATCAGTTCTCTTTGAAAACCCAATCCCTGGATCAATCATAATCCTCCAAGCTGGAATCCCGGAGATTTCTGCATCCCTTGCTCTCAAACAAAGCTCTGAAGCAACATCCTTGCAAACATCATCGTATTGCAAATTCTCTTTGTTTTGCATGGTGCATGGATCTCCTCTCATGTGCATAACCATATAAGGAACATCAGAATCCGCAACAACCTTATACATATTTGGGTCTAAGCTTCCGGCTGATACATCATTCAAAATGTCAGCTCCGTTGCTTATTGCTTCTAAAGCAACCTCAGAGTTAAAAGTATCCACTGATATAAGCTTTCCCTTCATTTCTTGCATGCCACGCAAAACTTTCAAAACGGGAATTAGTCTATCTATCTCTTCTTGAGTAGAAATTCTTGAAGCCATTGGTCTTGTGGATTGCGCACCGATATCAATGATATCTACACCTTCAGTGATCATCGAACGGACTCGAGAAACCGCAGAATCTATGGACTGAAACTTACCTCCATCACTAAAGCTATCAGGAGTAAGATTAAGTATACCCATCACGTAAGTTTTCTTTGAAAAATCCCATAATTGGTCTCCTATAGGTAAAACTCTTTGTATACCGTTGTTTCCAATCAATGATTCACCACCTAGCTTCTCCCAAGCTTCGAAGATCCCACCTTGAAGCATCGAGAGTGAATGCCAATGTGAAACTGTATGATCATCATTATCTGATCCAAGCAAATCAACCAAAGGAGCCAAAACAAATGGTCTTTCCCAGATTCTCTCATGAGGAATGATTAGTTTCTCAGAGGTTATTCTTAACTTCCCATAGAACAATATGTCCAAGTCAAGTGGTCTTGGTCCATACCTTATACCATTGTCTTCACGACCCATCTCTCTCTCGATTTTCTTGAGAACGGTCAAGAGCTCGTGAGGGTCGAGCTTTGTTACGCCTCTCACAGCAGCATTGAGAAACTTTGGTTGATCAGTGACATGAACAGGCTCTGTTTCGTACAAACAACTGTGCCTCGTTATACGAATTCCATAGTTTTTCATCAGTCGTAAAGCTTCTTTAAAGTTCCTCATTCTGTTTCCAACATTGCTTCCCAAAGCAATCGCGACTTCTTGCTCTGTTTTTAGGGTTGTGGCTGTTCCTGAAGATGCAAAATCTGAGTTACATACCAAAAAAAAGTTCACGTTTTTATATGGCATTAAGGAGAAGCTGTTGAAAAATGATTCAAAGGTTTCATCTTTGTCCATAATCCATATAACACAGCATAAATATCGAATCGATAAACAATGAAAAGGAAACGGGTGAAGAGGATACGAACCCATTTCTATAATATTTTATTTGGCAAAGTCAGGCTAAAATATCAGTCTTATCTGCTTCGATCTGACCTGAAATATATGAGTTTAGAAAACAACTACCAGAAATGAACATTGATTTGAGTCCGATCAAATAAGCAAGTAAAAAACAACAACAACCAAATGAAGAAAACAATGTCGATATATACATGTATATATCAAATAGAAGAACAAAAAAATGTCAACACCTACAAAAAAAAAAAAGACATATCATATTATCAAAGTTGAGATCATATTTCAAAACAGGTATTGATTTCTCCATGTACACCTCTCAATCAAATGTATTTGGCCACGACAATAAAGTAAATATCAACAACTTATGGATTTCAAACTATACATATAAATTTGGGGATTTGAAGCAAAAGAAAATCAACAAAGTAAGCAGGGGTCTTGTAGAGGCTTACGGAAAAATGGTAGCCAATTCCCAACTGTCCGATGATTTTATTTTATGAACTAGTTATGTAGATCTAATTAAAATGAAATTTTATAGTAATTCTCCCATACTTAGATGATTTACAAACATAAGATTTCACTACTTATATACAAGTCAACCTTCATAATAAACAATGATGATCAGTAAGTTTAAATTAATCCAAATCTAAAGATTGCTTACTTTGATTTTTCTAATATTATTGACATTTTTTTCTAAAAAAGAGTAATTTGTTTTGCCAAGTGCAATCTTTTTATTTGACATGTGTACTTTGATATTTTAATATCAGAAACTATGCTATGTTTATCTATTTCATATTATTTATTTATATTTAATGGCTTTATGACATCTAAATATTATTTTCAGTTTCCCTATATTTTCTATATTATTTTTTACCAATTTGTATTATGAAAATTGAATTTTTTTTTTCATTTAATGAATCTATATTATCTACTAAATTTTTTTATTTAAAGCGATATTAGGAGAGATAATTGAAAACCATGTGTCCACCTATTATGATTTCTTTTCTAAACTTACAATGAAAAATCTGAAATACATCTATTATCGTGCGCCAAAACGGGTCAAAGCCCAACAATTAAACGAATGCCCACAAGAGACACTTGCATCAGAAGCAAGGGTTTAAAGAACCCTAGACCAGTTCACGACCTCAGTCCTCAATACACGATCTCCAACAGTCATCAATGGATGGAAGTGGAAGAGAAACCAAAGAGCCAATCCCAATTAATCTCATCTTAGAGATACTTTCGAGATCACCCGCCAAATTTATAGCGAGATGTCGCTGCGTATCGAAGCACTTGGCTTCCATGCTTAGAGGATACGGGGATCGTGAGGAGCATCTAGTTCTGACATTAGGGACTCAGAATCTTTCATGGAGAGTGATCGAATGTTGCATATCCTATGATCCTTCAAGCAAATGGATATGCATCAATGGTGGTCTGTATTTCAAAGATTCTACCTTTAAAATAGGTTGCTTTGATGTGAGCTCTGAGAAGTTTAAACTTATTAAGAAAGCTGAGGACATGGTGCTTTCGAATGATCTAACTCTTGAAAAGCTACAAAGATAAATTAGGTGTACTTGAGTCAAATCGGTTTTACGGAGTTACTGAACAAAGTACAAGGCTTGAGTTGTGGGTTCTTGTAGACGCTGAAAATTTTGAATGGTCGAAGCATGTATCCATATTGCCCCCTTTGTCGGAGAACTTAGTTGCAGTGGTTCCACCTGACAGGTTATCCCCAAGTTTATCCTTTGTTGGTGTTGGAGTCACTGGTACAAATGAAATTGTGTTCCGCGCTCGCTCTATCTAATCGACCCTTGTTATCTTTACTTTTACAATCCCAAGACGAAAACTATCAATACGGTCGAAATCCAAGGAATAGATGAGTCCAAGGTTTGTACACTTCACACCTTGATTGACCACGTAGAGGACTTGCAGCTTTTGCAAAATATTTAGGACTTGCAGATTTTGTAAGTGATCATGGACTCTCTTTTTTGCGTCAGTCCTTCTGCTATCTGTTCATCTTTCTTGGATATTAAATTCAATTCATTAATTCTATTATTGTAGTTCATACATCAAGAGTATTAATAGTTTTTCTATGGTAAGTGTTAAGCCTTTTTAAGGTCGTCTCATCATGATTAAACCACTTTGTGAATTATGTGTGTTCATGAGTTCTGTGTTAGTCAATCTATAGGTAAAGACCACACAATAAGTTTTGTGTTTGAGGTTGTGGATGAATTACCAATCATGCAAAAAAAAAAAAACATGTGTGTTTGTGGCAAAAGAAAAGAAAAGTGTATTTGTAATAGATAACCTCATAATTGTTCATAATTTGCAAAATAGGAAAATATACTATTACGTTCCAGTACACTTTTCAATATGGCATTATTACTCTTGATATTTTTCTCGACCCTTGTTATCTTTACGGAGATCGTGAGGAGCATCTAGTTTTCAGTGGTTTAATCTTAAAAATTCAATCAAATGTTTTCTCCGGGATGTTGCTTTTTCTTTTGAGTCAATTTGCTAGAAATACCAAAACTTGGTCAAAATTAGCTGAATAGGAATGACAAGATGTAAATCTATCTCTACAGTTTGGTCGGAATGTTAATTACCATATAACCCTCTTTTCTTCGTCTATCTCTTAAACTGACAACGGAGATAGGAAGCTCATCAGTCCTTCTGCTATCTGTTCATCTTTCTTGGATATTAAATTCAATTCATTAATTCTATTATTGTAGTTCATACATCAAGAGTATTAATAGTTTTTCTATGGTAAGTGTTAAGCCTTTTTAAGGTCGTCTCGTCATGATTAAACCACTTTGTGAATTATGTGTGTTCATGAGTTCTGTGTTGGTCAATCTATAGGTAAAGACCACACAATAGGTTTTGTGTTTGAGGTTGTGGATGAATTACCAATCATGCAAAAAAAAAAAAAACATGTGTGTTTGTGGCAAAAGAAAAGAAAAGTGTATTTGTAATAGATAACCTCATAACTGTTCATAATTTGCAAAATAGGAAAATATACTATTACGTTCCAGTACACTTTTCAATATGGCATTATTACTCTTGATATTTTTCTCTCACAACTTCTTCTTCTTCATACTTTATTTCTGTCGCTTTCTATCTCCTCACAAATCTTTAATTTTTTTACAAGCATTCACTCAATCTCTTATACACACACTCACCAAAAACTGAAAATCAACATTGTCTATGTCAAAGGGATAAACATCAAAGATATGGATATGGATATGATGCAAAAATAGGTGGAAGTGCAAATTTTGAGTGTGGATTTTCTGGGAATTTAGAATGATTTTGATATCGGCGACAATTGTTCATATATTGGGTTTTTCTGGAGATTAAAGATGAAAGTTGATGATTCAAGATTTTATTTGTCCTGTGAAATATAAAGTTAGAGCTATATCTAAATGTTTAAATGGTATAATAACATATAAACATGTAAGTTAAACAGAAAATGATTAAGTTACCATGTTAAAACAAACGTTAGAGGTACAATACATAAATTAACATATTACAATCAAATATAACTTGTAACAAAATTATCACATCTAGAAAAATGTTAATGTTCCAACGAAAAAGAACATGAAAATTAACTGATATCAACTATGTTATCGTGCTAAGTTAAAAATTAACAGTTAACTTACATATTTACATAATACAATAATTTTTAACATGTTACAATAATACGTAACTTGTTACAACTAAATTTTTTTTTGTTGTTAAATAAAAAAATATGAAAGAG